ACACATATCCCAAGGGAGCCAATCCTCTAGGTGAGAAACACCAACTTAGAAATAGGCCTTTAATGATGTTGAAAGAATAAATGAGATCACCACAGGTGCATGGGCAGAGACCTGACCTCTTCCCTGATTTGGTGACTGATCGGTAGGCCAACCAAAGGGACTGAAGAATGATATGACACCAGGTCAGGCAACCCTAACACAAGATTTGCCATAAATCCACTATTACTGCTCATCCCTTAAGGGACACTAGGGCTGCTGAGAGTGTTGCTGGAAAGTTACCCATGCAACCAGACAAGGCAACTGCAGTTCAGTTAGAAAGACCGACCAAAACTAATTTATAATATTTGTAATATTGATCGTCCCTTCTGACATCAGAAAATTATGCAAACTTGCTATTTACAAAAAAAATCACGTTTAACGTCTTAAGCCATCCACTAAGTTTGATACAGAGTTGCTTATGATAGCAATACTTTAAAAATGTAACTATCATTGTTTTTGTTAAAGATATGAAGAAAATTACTTTAAGTTTCATAGAAAAACAATCTGCAGATGTGTATCATAAGGTATGAAGCAGTTATCACAAATGCTACTTTCTTTTCTTTTTTGTGGTCATAAACTTTGTTTCAGAGAGAGGTTTAAAATCATTACATCTAAAACGAAAGCCTATAAAAACATACTGAAAGGTACAGCATGTCTTAAAAAGAGTTTTCTTAGTTTCACAAGCTTTTCTTATTTCTCTTTTACGGAGAGCTCAGACATTAAAATTAGCATTTGAAAGTATTCAAAAGCTTGTTAAACTTCTCATTTAGATGTCAGGTTTCCCAGGTGCTGTTTCTCACGAAATACAATGAAACCTGTACAAAACCAACCTTACTAGGCAAACTCCTGTCTTAAGACCATCATTCCCAAACATACGTAGTACAATTCTGGTTCACTATAACTGATAAACACCAACTTTAGGTTTATCCATTAAAGATACATGCAGTTACAATGAAACCTAACTTATGTTACACTTATAACTGAGCTAGATATTTCTAAATACATATTCTAACAAGTAGCTAGCAAGCTTTATTTTAGCTAAGATGACATTTTGCAACTGATTTTTTTAAACCACTATAACAATAGTAGAATCTATAACTAGCGCCGTCATAAACAGTCCCAGCACTTAACTGGACCTATTGCTAGAGAATAAATTCAATTAAGAGGGTACTAAAACAAACTTTCACTTGTATAATATGATCATTTGATTCCTCTAGACCAATGTAATAGTAGAATGTGCCAAGAGAAGTTATAATAGGCTCATTTGCTCCTCAATTCATTCTTTATAGTAATCAAAAAATTATAGAAGTGTAGAACTGAAAGGGACCTGAAGAGTTCATTTTAGTCCATTCCCTAGGGCTGAGGCAGGACTTGGTATTATCTAGACTGCCCTTGATAGGTGTTTGTCTAACCTGTTCTTTAAACCCTCCAATGATGGGGATTCCACAACTTTCCTTGGTAACCTATTCCAATATTTAACTACCTTTATAGTTACAAATTTTTCCTAATATCTAATCTGAATCTCCCTAGCTGCAAACTAAGCATACTACATCTTGTCCTAACTTCAGTGCATACAGAGAACAACTGATCACCAAATTATGCCTTGAGGTATCCTTACAGGATTCTGTAGGACCTGAATACAATCATCGTATGTCAAATGAGGGACCTTCACTCATATTATTTCCTTTCTCTAATATGCCTGATATACCTTAATATTCACTTGGTAATTGTGTAAATAGTTCACTGTACTTTTTAATAAAGCTAGTCATGAAATAAGAGCAAATAACTACCAACACAAGGCATTACTATGAGCATTTGAGTGCTGGGAGAACAATACAAATGACAAGTTTCCATTTCCAAAGAATGTTGAGAGTCCAGAAAACATTAGCGGTCTCAAAACAAGAAACAGTTATATAGGCAGAGTGTTCTACTCCATTTCTCTTGAATACAGTTGTTTATGATACAGATGATGCTGTTCTTTTGTTTAATGGATATGGGTATAGCAAACCATTTTCTCAACATACAACTTCTGAAAATATACATTCTTACTGATTTACAAGACAATCTGCCCTCTTAAAATACTTTACTTTTAGGAGTAATACAGTTTTCAGCTAGCTAAAATTCTGTATTTACTGTTAATATGAAAAATATATCACTCACCCAATTAGCTGGATTTACACTAAAATGGATGTTCACAACTAATCAGAATACATTTTTTCTTTTTTTAAACTGACCCAAACTTTAAAGCTATTTCCCACTAATTACAGGATGCACATCTACGGAATTTTATTAACTGCATCCTTCAGAACTCCACCACCACATGTCAAACTATCATGACTCATTGATCTTCCCACTGTCCCTTATAGGACCCAAAACATCATTTGGTCGCCAGGGAAGACATCATCAGTACTAACAGTATTTTGGGCTAACAAACTCAGAGGTTAGTTATCTTGCAAGCCAGAAGCTACTTCAAATGGCCAGAATAACTCAATCATTTAGACTGAGACATTAATCAGGAAAAAAAAATCCACAAATTCAGGCTGACATTTTATACATTAAATCTTAAGTAATTTCCTGACTTTATTGGTTCTCAAGCTTAATATGCAGTTTTACAGTAAAAGCTTTTTTAACCAGCATGCTGGGGAAATGGGGGGTGCCGGTAAATTAAAAATGCCAGTTAACTCAGAGGGAGGGGTTTGAAGTGCGGTGGTGGGGGATGTGTGCGGGGCTGGGGCATGGGAGGGGCTGCGGGGCACAGACTCTGGGAGGGAGTTTGGGTCCAGGAGGGGGCTTGGGGCACGGGTAGGGGCTCGGGGTGCCGGATTGGGGGGGCACTCACCTCCGGCAGCTCCCCGCAAGCGGCTCTCCATCCTGCTGCTTCTAGTGGTGGAGGCACGGCCAAGCGGCTCTGCAAGCAGGCACACTGCCTCCGTCTGCAGGCACCTCTGTCTGCAGCTCCCATTGGCCATGGTTCCCAGCCAAGGGGCTGGGAGCCGCAGACTCAGCGCTCAGGGAGGTGGGACGGAGGCAGCATGCCTGCAGAGCCGCCTGGCCATGCCTCTGCCAGCAACAGTAGGGACAGGGAGCTGCTTGCAGGAAGCCACCAGAAGTGAGCCGCGCCTGCCTCCCTCCCCCGCCATCTGGCACCCCGAGCCCTTCACATGCCCCAATCCCCTGCCCTCTCCCGGACCCAAACTCCCTCCCAGAATGCACCCCGCAGCTCCTCCCACGCCCCAGCCCCGCACCAACCGCATTATAAATCGGTCTGTCAGCAGTGCAGATCAGAAATGCCGGTTTATAGAGTTTGCCGGTTGAAGTGCCAGATAAAAGCTTTTACTGTACTTGGTTTACATTCAAGAGTTTTCCTTGTGTTTCTCAAGTTAATATGCATTTTGGCATGCTTTACATATTCAGATGTAATGTATGATGTTTTATATCTTAAACTAATTAAATTTACGTATTTGAAGGGTTTTACTGTTGGGGGAATTCTGCACCACTGCACATGCAGAAATTGCGCAAAAGTGAATGTAGTACACGCAGAATTTCCTTTTTCTCCTACAGAAATGGGCTGCAGAGTTGCTGGCCACCACTAGGGGCTGCTGGACTCAAGAGGAGCCCAGTTCGCAAGTAGAAGACACTGCAGGGAGGGTGGTGTGTGTTTCCAGGCAGCTACAGTTCTCAGCACACCCTGAAGGAAGGAGGCTGTGTGCAGGAAACTCCATACAAGCACAGGGCCCAGCATCAGGCTGTTTCTCCCTCTGGATCCCTGGGGTAGGGGTGTGGGTGTCTGAGCTGGGGGGGCATGCCTGGGTGCTGGGGAAGGAGGTGGTGCAAGTGTCTAGGCAGGGCGGCGGGGGCTCTGCAGCTGGGCTTGGGGGGGAGGGGTCCCATGGCTGGGCTGGGGGGTTAGGGGATGCCAGTATCTTGGCTGGAGGAGGGAGGAGGCGTGGCTGGGCTCTGGGGGAGTAAGGGGTGTGGATGTCTGGGCTGGGGTAGATCCTGCAGCTGGGCTCTGGTGGGAAGGGGGATACAGGTGTCTGACACCCCCTGCTGAGCTCTGAGGGGGACGGGGCACAGAAAGAGGGGTTCCTTTAACTCTCTATTCCTCAGGGAATTTTTCTGTGTGTGTCTGTATTGTTACAGACATAGTTGCTGACAGGTATTTTGAAATAAGTTACCCAAATAATTGAAACTGGCGTGATTATATAGTGTTATTTAAAAAATAAAATATGCAGAATTTTAAAATATTGTATACACAGCTTTTAATTTTTTGGTGCAGAATTCCCCCAGGAGTAATGGTTTATATCTTGTATAAGATTAACCAATGGCATCTTCTAGAAATCAGACAGACAAAAAGTTATGAAAACATATTTTGAAGCATTTACCACACAAGTACTGTAATCTGTTCTATTAATCTAGCCAGCAGTTAGTGAAATATCTACATCCTGTAAGAAATGCAGTTATAAAGGTGCTTAGCTGGCGGATCAACAATATTTCCCAATTTAAATTTGGGGTGGGAGAACGGACAAGATTATTCATATGCCAGAAATTGTAATGAAAGTTTACCTTTGTTGCCCCACCAATGATCTCAAACCATAAACCAGAGGAACCACATTTTTTTAGGGTTAGAGATAATTCATACTGAATACTAATTAAGACCTGGGCGTCTCCCAAGTTCAGACTAGCAGTTGCATCAAACTATATTAAATATGATGTGTTCTGTGATGTGAACTGAGTCACAACCCAGTTTATTTCTCAGAAGATCTCAAGCTAGACTTGCATCCTGATACCAGAAGTGAAAAACAGTTGATTCGCCACTAAATTGCTTAGCCCTTTGATTAGACTACAGTGTGGAAAATGGCATTTTACATGACTCTGCTACAATAATTCAGATTTTGAAGAAAAACTTTTCTAACATCCTAATAAACTGAAATTTCTTTAATTTGACATGTTGTATTTACCATTCTGTAACCCCATCCAGAGCTGTTTATGATCCTTTTTCTGCATTTCATTGATGACTTGACTTTTGTGCTTTAAAGCATCTGCTTCCTTTACACAAGCCATGAAATGAGCTTCAATCACATCTTTAGAAGGACAGTGCAGTAGATCCTTTTCTGGGAAATTCTACAAAACAATTTTCAGAAGACAGACCAAAAGAAATAAGTATATTGTGCATCTCTTAGTAATAAACAAAAATATTTTTCAGCAAGCACAGAGACAAAGCAAATAGATCATTAACCCTCATCCAGTTTATATACTTCAGGTTTAGTCACAATACCTATTTGTGAATTAAGGCCTTGGCTACACTTACCGGCAAGTTCGACGGCTGGAAATCGAACTTCTGGGTTCGACTTTTCGCGGCTTGTCTGGGAGCGGTAAAGCGGACCCCGGAGAGCGCCCCCGGCGGCGCGGGAG